ATACTCCAGGAAAACCTATCCACTCTAGGGACCACCCTAGCTCTGACTGTCACTTTACGAAAGTGTCCATCAGTCAGGCTGGGTGGAGGCTAGGGGAGACATGAATGCTTCAGGAATCCAAATGGTCCAAGTTTGCATTCACAGTTAAAACTGGAGATGGGAAACAAAAGTCAGATGAACTTCCCTCCTTCCCAAGTCTGAATTTTGTTAATTTCATGGCACAGCATCCCCTCCACCTGATTTGGGGTTTACAGTGTTTCTCTAAATGTGTTTAAGGTAGCAGTACCCAAATCGTATTCCGTAGATTTGGAATTTGGAAGATATAAGAACGCTACTGTGAGACACAGATTTGAAGGGGAAATATATATTCCGTAGTCAATGTGTTTGAAAAATTTGAGATTAAACAAAATTAAGTCAGCCACTTCACTGCAGGATTGCTTTCAACCTTCGGCATGCAAGGGTGTGTTATGAATCTTAAAGAGGCAGATAGAGTAAGTGACCATTTCTAACATTATCTGAACATGGAACCTTGTTTTAGTGAAATTTCTGTCTACTTCTCCTGGGAAGCTAATGTCCACAGGAACAGATTTGGGGAAATACTGCCTAAGAAGGTTTTCATTGTATGCAAACAGGTAGCTGTCAGCTGTTTCCCAAACTCTCTAAAAAGTTTGCTTCAGAAGCAGCAGGAGAGTCTAAGTTTACCCCCCCTCCCCCAACAGTCCAGATCCTGGCAGAATAACATCTTGGAGTGTGCCAGGAAATTGCAGTAAAAGGACCTGCCATCTCTCTCTTGTCCTTCGGCAAGCTCTCCAATAAGTCGTCATAAATAGCACGAATCACCAAGGAAGCCCCCGAAATCGTTTTATCTTAAGAGGCCTTTGAAACTAGGAAATAGAATAGAGTCAAGGGATAAGAAGGTAGAGATTGAAAGGGAAGAAGATAGACTGCCTGACTTCTGGGGAGACAGTCTCTGAGTGTCTGCAATTAACCCATTCATTCTGACTCTGCCAAGAGCACGCTGAAGGAGCTACTTCCTCCCTTCAGCTTCCAAGTGGGACTAAGGAAGGAGAGGGCCAGATGCTACTCAGATCTCCAGGGAGTATTTCAGTAACTGTTATCCACTGAGTACTTCTCACTTGCCAGATGACAATTAGCCTGCCTTATACCTGGCTTGTTTCTTCTTTTCTTTGCTTATTTATGTAATAGTGGGGGGGATGGGTGAGTGTACATCATGATATGTTTATGCCACAGTGTTTCTATAGAGGGATCAGAGAACAACTTGGCTTGAGTTGGTTCTCTCTTGCTACATATGGATCTAGGGGACCAAACTCTGATCCTTGGGCTTTGTGGCAAGCAACTTTCACCCATTGATGGACCATTTCTCAGGAATCTTGATTGTTTCTCGGAACAACATAGGTTTCTTTTATTTATTACTGATTACTTTGTTATTGGAAGTAGATTCTTTTTTCATACAATACATCCTGACCACAATTTCTCTTCCCTCTACTCATCCAAGTTTCCCACCTCCCCTGTTTCCCCTGATTCACACCTCCCCTTTACCACTTCAGAAAAAGAGCAGGCCTCCAAGAGATGACAGCCAAACAGGACAAAACAAGATACAACAATCAATGCAAGACAAAAGCCCTAATATTGAGTCTGGACAAGGCAACCAAAGGAGGAAGAGTCTAAGAGCAGGCAAAAGAATCAGAGATACACCCACTCCTGCTGTTAGGGTCCCACAAAAACACCAAGCTGACAGTCATAACTTGTGCAGAGGACCTGGTATGGACCCCTGCAGACCCAGTGTTTGCTGTTTCAGTCTCTGTGAATCCTGTGTGCCCTGCTTAGTTGATTTGGTAGGCCATGTTCTCAAAGGAGGTTCCTAATAGCATCCCTCCTACTTTATAAACTGTGGCTGTAAAGACCAGAAAAGTTAAAGTCCTTGCTCAAGGTCATACATCCAGGATGGTGGGGAAGCTGGATTTGACTACTGTGTACTCCCTAGTGCCCTTGTGAATATGGACATTCACAATATCAGCACTTCCTTGGGCCTTCACTTATCAGGCTGTTTGTACGTCTAGGCATAGAGGTGTGGCAGAATGTCTGTCCACACTGACAAGGAAGCCAGAATAAGAGACTATCCCTAACCTTCACCATCCATGGCCAGCAAAACCCCTCATTTTCCCAACAACAGCCTGGCTCTGTGCCTTAGTCACCTCGCTCTTGCCAAATACATCTTTTCTCATTAGCCATCTGCCCCTCATGCCTGCTGCTAGCCCACAGTGGCTGGGCAGCTGTCCTGTTCAAGAGACAGGACATAATACTAGCTTATGAATCAGTACATTCTCTGGCACATCTGTGATCCCCTAATGGGAGGGTGGCAGAATCCAAAACACACTTCATCCTCATCCAAGTCTGCTCTGCTGGGGTTGGTGGCTCCAAAGGAGGCTTTGTAACTCTAGGGTGCAAACCAAAGCTGACAAGGCTGGGATCTGGGCAGGTAAGCTCAGGCCTGCAGCCTAAGATTCTGGCAGTGGGGGCAGGAGGGAGCAAGATGCAAGTGGGAGTGCTGGGGGCGAGGAGAGCAAAGTCATCTGAGAAGGAGACCACCTAAAAGAAAGCAGTGTTTCCACCTGGCCAGGAAGTAAGCCTAAGGCACTAGCCATCTGCCACATCATGCTGAGTGACTGATAGGTCATTTCTAGAGTCTGTAAACACTGTGTGCCCATGGGTCAGGGAGCTGTGTGTGAGGCACTCAGAATGAGCACACAATGGCTATAGCTTCAATCTGAGAGGATGACCTGCCCCGCATCTGAAGGCACTTTTGCTGGAATGGACCAGTGAGCCAAATAAGCAACATACTTTCCTCCCCCCACCCCCCTTCTGATTTCCCTGTATAGGGCCAAAGGAGGTTCAGGGTAAAGACTGGGTGATAGGGTAAAGACCTTAGTTTCCCTTCTGGTTTCCCTGTATTGGACCAAAGGAGGTTCAGGGTAAAGACTGGGTGATAGGGTAAAGACCTTAGTTACTGAGTCTTAGTTACTGAGTACATTGTTGGGATAAAATACCACACCAAATCAAATGAAAGGAGAATGAGTTCATTTTGGCTCATAGTTGAGTGTTACAATCCATCCTAACGGGGAAGTAAGTTACAGAGGCAGGGACTTAAGAAAGCTGCTCACCATGGAACTGATCCAGATCACAGGAACGTGGGTGTCAGTGAGGAGACCTCGGAAATCTATGGGCCTCCTGTAGTAGATCAGTACTTATCCCTAGCATAGGTGTGGACTTTGGGAGCCCATTCCATATAGAGGAATACTCCCTGAGTCAAGACACACGGGAGTAGGCCTAGTTCCTATCCCAAAGGAGACGATAGACTCTGATGGCCCCTTATGGAAGGCCTCACCCTCCCTGGGGAGCAGAAAGGATATGTGATAGGTAGGGTTTTAGTTGGAGGGGCGGGATGGTAGGGGAGGAGGGGAGAGAGAGGGAACTGGGATTGACATGTAAAACAATCTTGTTTCTAATTCAAATAAAAAAAATTCTGCAAAAAAAAAAAAAAGAAAGCTGCTTATGTTGTATCCATAATCAAGAAGCCGACAGCAATGAATGCTTGTGCTCTGCCAAAAAAGAAAGCTGCTTATATTGTATCCATAATCAAGAAGCCGACAGCAATGAATGCTTGTGCTCTGCCATCATTCTCCTCTTGGTAGTCCAGAGCCACCTACTTTTAGTGTGTGCCTTCCTACATGAATTAACCTAATCAAGAGATCCTTCTCAGGCATGACCAGAGGCTGACATAACCAAAGCAATTCCCCACAGATACACCCAGATACTTATCTCTTAGGGGGTCTGAGATCCTGTCAAGTTGACAGCCATTATTGACCATCACAGCATGGACGTTTGGATGAACACCTTTGAACTTCTTGATGTCACTGCCCCAGATGTCCCAGTTCTCTGGCTGTAGCAGCCCCCTGCTCCTACACCCTCAGCTGTCAGAAATGATAATACATTTGGCTCATTGCTGTCTGTCTCTTCGACTCCTGTAAGGCCCTTGAGTACAAGGACATCTGCTAACAACAAGGACATCCCCTATGCATGTCATCTCTGCCTAGAACAGTGTCTAGCATGTGAGGAATGCTTGCATATGTATGAAATGAATGAAAAACCATAATGACAAGTGAAGATGCAACCCTGCCTGCACACCTTCAGGTTGACATTTTTAGAAAGCAAACTTGACTTTGACACTCTGCTAACACCCTCCCCCCCAACACACACAGGCTTACTGGACTAGTCTGGGACACTCCCTAGCATCCAGGCCTGTGGACTCTGACCCCAGCAGGCCCCTCCATCTTCCCCAGGCTTCATGTATACCACATGCTCATTCAGTGCTTCTGGAACTTCTGGTGTACATGAGAATTAGGGACCTAGTGATTATCCCACCCTGGACTCAGCTCCAGGCATATGGACTCATATCATATGGTGGTAGTAGTCCATTTTGGGAATGACCTCAGATTGTTTTGATGGTAGAACCATACTTGAAGAAGGAGCTCATGCCTTCATCAAAGTGTCATGGGCAGCTCAGTGAGTGGCCACATCCTTTCTCTCCTCAGAGCCTTTGTATGATGACTTCTGGAGGAAATAACTTTGTCTACCCACATGTTCTATGTAGAAATTGCCTTCAGGCTCCAGAGATGACCTGCCTAGGATATAACCTTCCCTCCACCCACCACACATACTCAGTGTTTCTCTCTCCACCTGGTGTGTCTTGTGTTTACTGTGCTTAGGGGCTAATATACTGAATTCTCTTTTTCTCCCCAAAGCCACACTGCTGATCCTAGAAGAGCCACTCTTAGTTATTCTATATACTGAGCACTCACTCAATGGAGCATCTCATGTGTCCTGAGCTGGCTCACAGTCCCAGGTGTCCTCCAACATGTTCTCTCCTCTTCCTCTCCATCCTAACTCTGTTCTCTCTTTCTAATCGCCCATCTTCCCAGGAGTTCTCCCTCCAGAGAATGGACAGCCTTGTGGATGACAGAGTCAACATCTTAGGATTTTCCATTTTCAACCAATCCCATGCTTTCTTCCAAGAGTTCTCCCAGAGCCTCAACCAATCCTGGCAGGAGAACTGTGACCATGTGCCCTTCACCGGTCCTGCGGTAAGTGCCTTCTAGATGCCTTTGGGCCCTAACATTCTCTGTGCTCTACCACATACTCCACACAATGAGGCAGGGCCAAAGTCATTGGCCTCCAAGATGTACCACGAGAGGGGGATGTGAGCCACTCTACATCTGGGAGAATGGCTCTGGAGATCCAGTGATTGCTGCTGCAAGAGATGAGGCAGGGCCAAAGTCATTGGCCTCCAAGATGTACCACGAGAGGGGAATGTGAGCCATTCTACATCTGGGAGAATGGCTCTGGAGATCCAGTGATTGCTGCTGCAAGAGCAGGGAGGAGGTCCGCAGAGGTCATAGAAGGCCTTCTAGGAGGTGAGAGGCAAGCCTGGTCAGGAGCTGAATCACAATGGTTTGGTCACCTAAGGACCATGCAGCAAGAAGTGATTTCATATGAATCTTTTGCCTGGGACTTCATGGTCATCATAGTTTGTGTACTTGCACTCTGTGGTATTATTATACAGTGGACTAAGCACACACTTCTCAGGTATCTCTGATATTAGTTGCTGTGAGACTTGCCATTTGTGCTTCATGTACAAGACCTGGATGGGAGAAGAGTCTGGTTTCTCTGGGAAGAGTAGGAACATGTTCTGTCTCATTCTTAAGACCTGAAGAGGCAGGTCTGCCACATGGAAACCACCTACAGCAGGTGTTCCCATGTGTCACCTTCCTAGCCGGCTTCAGGGTCTTATGGTCCCCAGGAATGTTGGAAGGGATCTGGGTAGCAGACAGTGTTCTGCTGGAGTGCAAACAAGCTGAGCCTCAGACTCAGGTCAGTCTCTGCTTGTCACAGGTCCTGTTCCTCAGTAAGTCTACTTTTCCCTTTCTGGGTCTTTTGGCTTTCATGCCAGCATAAAGGGTGTCTGTTCTCACTCAGGTTTACCTCTGCCTAGGCACTGTAACAAACCCCACAATATTACCTGCCTTGGCCTTTTTCCTTCCTCACAGCATGCTAGTAACAGTTCAAAAATGGCTGTCCCCTTCTGACAATGAGAAAACAGGCCCAGGAGAGCTGAGTGACAGGTCTGGGTCTCTGAGGGCTCCAATACAGTTTTAGTACAGTCACCACTGCTAGAGCCTAGATCAGCTTCTTCCTATGGGGATCTTTGCAGCCATCCTTTCTCTACAATGGCCTCTGAGAGGAAAGGAAGGTGTTAAAAACATTGTCACCTCAAGAGCCTGGAAGAGAAGCTGGGAACAGCACATTCCTGTGAGCCTTCTCACTTCTGAAACTTAACTTTTCAAGGGATGCCACTTACTGCCTTTCTCACAAGCAGCCCAGCTCCTCATGGCCGAGAGGCAAAGGGTGAGGGATCAGATTCTAGGAAACCACAGCATGGGCTGTCTCCTGTGCTGAGTCACAGAAAGGCTGCACAGGCTCCTGCCTCCTCGGAATGTTCATTCCCTTCCGCATCTCTCTCAGACTTTGTCTTCTCTTCCATCCTCTCTCTAGTCTCCCCCTCCCTTCTCTCCCTTTAACTCCCTTTCTGTTGCCCTCTCTTTCCTATAAAGCATCTCTCCACTCTTGACTCCCCTCTCTTCTTCTTTAGGCCTGTAGAAGAGGCTGCCCTACTTCCCTGCCTCCTCACAATTGCAGGTGGGGCTCCTCACATGGGGAGTCTAGTTTGTAGGGTTTCAAAGGAAGACCTGGGCTAAAGATATCCAGGAGAAATCTTGGTGTGCCTAGCCTGGCCAAGAAGCTTCCAGGTGGGCAGTGGTACCCCACAGATGCACTTCCTGCATGAGACAAAGCCAGCGCAGAGGGAGTGTTGGGAAGGGACACACGCCCACTAGTTTCATATGCCATTCCCATTAATCATGCCGCAAAGAACAAAAATCGTGGGAAATCATTAAAATTACAGATGGCTAGATTAAGTAATTAGAATTTAGGCTAAAGCAGATGTTTGTAATTAAGTGTTTATTTCGTTGAATAAAATCCAGATTGTAAGAACTAGTCCATGGGATCTTAATAGTCCCTGCCCTCATATTGTTTTGGGGGGCAGAGCTGACTATTACAGAGGTTCATAGGCAAATGGGCCTCTTGGAAGAGCCTCTGAATGCAGTCCTTCCTGCTTTGGGGATAGTGTGGGTTACAGGTGTGTGTCTAGAAGATATTCTTGTTTTCATTTGAGGGAGGGACAGGAACCCAGCCACAACTCCCTGAGTCAGAATTGATTCATCATAATTTATACAGAGTCTTTCATTCCCTGAAACAATTTGCAAAACAGCTCAAAAGAAAATAACAATGAAGAACCAAATGGAAATATAAAAACAAGAGAATAGAGGGTTCCTTGCCAAACAGCTTGTTGGTGCCAAGAAAGAAGAGAGGGTTTTCAATGAGGATTGAGCCGGCTAGGGGATTTACAATTTAGGAGAGACAGGGACAGTGGGGGGGGGGGGCAGCAGAAGCAGGGACAAAACCAAGAGGCATGCAGGCATGCACCCACATGGATGGGCAGCAGGGGACCTCAGAAATATGGAAGGGTCAGTCATGGGAGGAACAAGAAATGGAAAGGAAGGAGAAGGGACAGCAGAAATGTCTTCCTTCACTTCCCAACAGACTGAGAAGCAGAGATAGGGACAAAGTCTTTGACGACACAAGCCACTTTTCACTGACTGGGGCCCGAATGCTTTCCAGAATGGAATTAGTCGATAATAGCAGAGGGAGAAGGCAATTAGGACAATGAAGAGATGGCTTGGAATGGACAGCCAAACCACATGGGCACTGATGGACTGGCAGGGATGGTGGAGTCGTACTCCCTGGCAGCGGGGATCTGGAAAAGAGAATTGAAAAGAAAAGGAAAGAGATCAACAACTGGGGCAGACTAGCTAGAGGAGTGATTCTCAGGAGGCAGAAAGATGAGATGAGAACCACATGGGCACTGATGGACTGGCAGGGATGGTGGAGTCATACTCCCTGGCAGCAGGGATCTGGAAAAGAGAATTGAAAAGAAAAGGAAAGAGATCAACAACTGGGGCAGACTAGCTAGAGGAGTGATTCTCAGGAGGCAGAAAGATGAGATGAGTGTCCTAGTTAGATTGCCAGGAGCCTATAGAAGAAGGGCACCTGGTGATGGATGAAGGACCCCAAGGAGACTGTCCTTGAGGTAGAGTATGTTCCAGTAAACTTGAATTAGTACAGGCTCAGCTTCAAAGAAGACCTAGGAAGTACAGAGTCCTTGGGGACACTTTTCTCATGTCACTTTCTGAAGGCCATATATAGGTAGAGATGAGATTGGAACCTTGATAATTTTCCACCTACCTGATGTTCCCAACTTGAATTGTAATCACAAGAAATATATGAAGGCCCTGCAGGCAGAGATGACAAAGGACATTGGGAAAGGCACACACTGACCTCTCAGCATTTAGATAATATACTAATAACATCAGTTGGAGCTAGGGAGATGGATGTGTGGGCAAAGTGCTCGAAGGACAAGTATATGGGCCCAAGTTTTGATCCTCAGCACCCACATAACAGCTAAGCTGGCACTGCTTACTGGTTACCCTAGTCCTGGGGAGGTGAAGGCAAAAGGAGTTCTAGAGCTTACTGAACAGTTAGCTCTAACCAATTGGTGAGTCCCAGGCTCAGTTAGAGACCCTTGTCACAAAAAATAAGGAAGAGAGAGATAGAGGAAGATACACTTGTGAACACAGGTACACATGTATTCACAAACACACTTGTGCATATATGTGTACACATACATGTGAACAATATACCCCAGTCCTGGGGAGGTGAAGGCAAAAGGAGTTCTAGAGCTTACTGGACAGTTAGCTCTAACCAATTGGTGAGTCCCAGGCTCAGTGAGAGACCCTTGTCACAAAAAATAAGGAAGAGAGACATAGAGGAAGATACACTTGTGAACACAGGTACACATGCATTCACAAACACACTTGTGCATATATGTGTACACATACATGTGAACAATACACTTATACACAACAGAGAGACAGACAGACAGACAGACAGACAGACAGACAGACAGAGATCAAGTCAAGGAAACCTCATTCCAGCCAGAGTGGGACTAGCAGCAACCATGTGTCAGGAGGGGAGACAATGGTGTGACTATCTTCCTCTAAAATCATGTGTTGTCCCTCAGGAACCAATGTACAGATTGAGATTTGAGTCCCAGCATCCACATGGTGGCTCATCCAAGGGGATCTGAAAACCTCTTCTGGTCTTCTTGGGCACTATACACACAGGGTACAAAGACATACATGTAGTCAACATACCCACCCACATAAAGTAAAATTTTTAAAAAATTAAGAAGAGATATGTCTTTGGGGCCAACTACATGGAGGACCTTATGCCAAGTGCCAGTGGCACATGGACACGAACCTCTCTTGCCTTGAGGAAGATGCTTAACAGTAAAGACAAAAACATAGACAGAGCTACACTGACCTCCTCCATTTGTTTCCAGAATTTTGAGGGTCAGAGCCTGGGTCCTGGCAGCTCTAAAGGTAGGTCAATAGACCAATTAAGCAGACCAGAAAAAGTAAAGAGGAGAGATGTATTCGATGTCACCACACTGGCAAGTAGAGCAAAAAAGCCAACAGCCCGCCTGTGAGTCCAACCAGGGATACTGACATGAGGTTTAGGTTTAAGTAGATAGAGGTATGCATAACTAAGCATTCTGGTCATGGTGTGATCCACCCATCTTCACTGTCCAGGCTCCAGTCCCTCCTGCATGGTAGTGATCTGACAAGCTGTCAAACTGTGTGAAATCTCTTCCTAGGAGACACATTCCTCTCCTGGCTGGCACCAGGCTTCAGGCTTCTCCTTCCAGTGTGAGGTTCTTAGGGAAATTCCAGTTTCTTAGAGGCTGCTGTTTCAATAATCTGATAGCCAAGGAGAGAGGCACAGACATCTCCTTAGAACCCCTCTATTCCTGCTGAGACAGGTATACAGCTGAGGCTCACCAGGGCATGGCCATGCAGAGTCATTATTCCCCCCACACTCTCCAGGCATGCACCTCGATTTCCACCTCCTAGCTTTTACTCCTGTGGTCTCATCCTCTGAATTGCCTATCTCCTCACCACCCCCATGTCCAGTGGTGCCACAGCTGCTTAGATCCAGCGCTCTTAGTTCCAGAGTGTCTTCTTCCATTTCTTTGTTGCCCAAATAGATGGCTCTCTATTTAGACCACCACAGACCACTGTAGTTTCAGCTCTCCCCACCTCCTGTTACCCTGGTTGCTATCCTGCTCCTACCTTTGTACCTACATGTCATCTGTCATAGAAATGGAATTTTACTAAAATTTAGAATTTAATCTTACCATGCATTTCACACTATATTTCATATGGAATGGTACAGCTAGATTGTAGTCTAGGTCCGTGCAGGAAGGAACAGTTTCATGGGTGACTTCAGGGAGGAAGTGACCTACGCCCGAGCCTGGTAGAGTGGCCAGGTGCCTTCTGTCCCTCTGAGATTAGCAGCCTTGCCTCCTGTCCTGTGGATTTATTCCTGGCAGCAATGGAAGTTGCTATTTCCCAAGAGAGAGGTGGGGGGAGGGAGGGTAGAGGGAGAGAGGGAGGGAGACACACAGAGAGACAGAGAGGAGGAGGAGGAGGAGGAGGAGGAGAGAGAGAGAGAGAGAGAGAGAGAGAGAGAGAGAGAGGGGGGATAATTTGGAGTCTAAAGGTATATCTTGATGCTTCATCCCAGAACATCCTTTGTCAGTAAGATGCAGGTTGAGAAGCTCTTGAAAGCCAACCTGGACCACTGGAAGACATGGGTGGGGCCAGAGGAAGGGATGGCAGAGGACAGTGAATGTGCCCCTTATTTGCCTTTGGGTACTTTCTTTCTGTGTCCTCTTTGTCTTCTTCCCCTCCTCCTTCTCTTGCTTTCTCCCTACCACGTGCTCTCTCTGCTTCTTCCAGTTGTCCTCAGCCCTGCTGTTTGATGCTGTCTATGCTGTGGTGACAGCAGTGCAGGAACTGAACCGGAGCCAGGAGATTGGTGTGAAGCCCCTGTCCTGTGGCTCAGCCCAGATCTGGCAGCATGGCACCAGCCTTATGAATTACCTGCGCATGGTGAGGAGCAGCTGAAAGCCTGGTCATGCCCAGCCTCAGGACATCACCTGAGGGAGTGGGTCGTGGGTCCCATCTGTTCCCCAATTCTTAACACTCTTGGCAAGAGCCTGTGGCTAGCTTATTCTCAAGACAACAGTCCTTAGATCTTAAACTAGATAGGGGCTCCAAATTCTAGGCTTACAACCTGGCCCATGCCCAGTGGTAGCCCTTGCACAACTCAGCACAGCTGGGAGAGGACCATGCTGCTGGAAGGAACCTACCATCCCTCAGGAGACCCAGTCTGCAGACTTTTAGCTTGATGCTCATTTTCCCCAGAGTTCTCTCTCCAGCCACGTTTTTCTTCCATGAAAAAGACATCTCTCACTGGAGAGAGAAGGTGTGTGTGTGTGTGTGTGTGTGTGTGTGTGTGTGTGTGTGTGTGTGTGTGTGGAGGTCTTAGACTTTTGCATTGAGTCAGGACTATCCTGACTTCTGCAGGCCCAGGGTCAGCAGATTCTCCAAAAGGAAAAATGCTGATAACAGTCTCCCATATGGCTAGGGGACAGGGAGAGCTGAATCTGAGCCCAATGCAGCATGGTAGCTCCTATTGACTTGGGGTTATTGGATGTGGTCCCCTTCTTCCTCCACTCAGATTCTGTGGCTTTGGAGTGGACAGAACAGGGGTTCCCAAACACTGTTAAGTAGAGCATAAGAGGAATGATTGCTTGGGGCCAGCTATGGCGGGGCCTATTTTGTGCTGTAACTCACTCTCTCTTGGACAGGTAGAATTGGAAGGTCTCACCGGCCACATTGAATTCAACAGCAAAGGCCAGAGGTCCAACTATGCCTTGAAAATCTTACAGTTCACCAGGAATGGTTTTCGACAGGTAAGCCTACCTACACTGCCAAGGTGATGTCCTTTTCCCTGTCCCTAGCTCCAGTGGCCTCCAGCTGTCAAGTGTCCCCACTCCCCAACATAGCAGGCGTCATTCATTCTGATTCAGACTCCAGAACTGCAGTTACCTCATCCTATCTGGTCCCAGATCAGCCCATGTGGGCTCTGCCAGCAATATGCCAAGAGGGAGGCAACCATGCCTTGTGGGTGAGGAAACAAGGGGATGTCATTTAGAAAGGAATGCCCAGATCCTCTCCGCTATTGTGTTATTGTTTTTTTCTGGGAGGAATGGAAAACGTTGGGGATTTCCCCCAACCCTGGAACCCCGCTGGACTCCAGGGGCACTGCTGATGAGGCAAAGGGTGGGTCCCAGGTGGGCAAAGACAGCTCTCATGTTGTGATAGACTGCCCTTTCTGTCCTGCTCTTCTCCAGCTCACCCTTCCCCTGCCCTCCTGTCAGCTGCTGTGGCAGCACTCCAGCTCTCTGTATGGTTCTTCCTTCTCCATGAAGCCCTCTTGTTCCTTTTCTCTGGTCCTCTTTCAGAGGAAACAGACTCTGGCGGCCATGTCAAGTGTCTCTCTAAAAGTCTCTATCCTCACCATCCCCTAATAATCAACTTCCTTTATTTAGAGGCCTCTCTGACTCAGGAAAGGCCAGGAAGACCAAGTCAGACACTAACTACAGCAGGAAGCAGGTATATTAAAGCCCTCCTAACTGTCATAGTGGCTGGATGAGGGACGGTCCCACTGTAGAGCTCCAATAGCCACCCTTCCAGCAAATTAGACAGAAACATTGTCTTTGCCTTCACCACCACCACCACCATGGTGGCTACTCTCTTATGTTAAACACTTACCATTAGCTTTATGCCCTGGTAAGTGTAGCATGTGTATAAGCCTGCAAAGTAGGTGATTTCATTTATTTTCTACCCTAAAACCATAGGTACTTTGGGTGGGGTGTATGTGTCCATGTATTCATGCATATATGTGCTCATATGTATGAGCATGTATGTGCATACATGCGGAGGCCAGAAGTTGGTGTTGAATATCTACCTCTAAAGTTCCCCATCTTATATTTTGAAATATGGTCTCTTACTGAACCAAAGCACCGACTGGATAGCCAGTAAGACCTGGGAATACTCTTGTTTCCACTACCCTTGTGCTGAGATTGCAGCCACACGCCCCTATGCCCAGGTCTTTATGTGAGTGCTGGGCTTCTGAACTCAGGTTTTCATGTCTGTAGGGGAAACATCTTACTGATTTATCCCTCTTTCTAGATCACAAATAGGTACTTTAAAAAAAATCAATGTCCTCAGTTGTGAGGTTTATGACTGATTTGTCCTTGAACAACTAAGTCATAGCAGAACTGGTTTCAGATCTATGTATGCCCTGCCTACAGCCCAAGTCCTTAACTATTATGACAAATTATGTATAAAACTCACCTTGGTAACTGTTAAAAGCCCCATTTTAGATTCTATCCCATGGGAGTCTAGGAAGGGAAGCCCAAAGAACAGATCTAGTCAACAGGTATCCAGTGTGATCGTCATAGAACCCTGTCACATAGAAGCCCATCACATCTGTCTTTTGCTACACCATCCCTGCATCCAAGAGGGGACCCTTGACCTTTATATGGGTCCTTGGGAGATAGCTATTTCTAGGTTATCTGTAACTTTTTGGAGAGTTGGTCTTCTTAGAAGAGAACAGAGGGGAAGGAAGGAGTCCCTGGAAAAGGAGGTGGCCTGGGGCTGAATGTCAGCAGTACCCTCAGCTCTGGATGGGAGCTTCGTGGGATGCTGCCACTTCCCTTATCTTCTCAGATAGGCACAAGGTCCTTCATTTATCTAACTGGCCTTTTACTGAGCATCTGCTATGTGTCAGACATCATGCTGGGTCGGGGGAACACAGACACAGCTCTTACACTGAGAGAGCTCTCAGTCTGGTGAGAGTAAGTGATGTAGAAAAAAAATGGGAAGAGAATGAGAGCTGCAATTTAGGGCTATTAAGCTCAAATCATGCCCTGTGGCTCATCATCCTCGAATGAGTAGGCTGCCAGCCTCTAGGAAAATTGTCAGGGAGACTTTTCCCTGAGCCCCAATCTTCTTGGGGGATCTGAAGTAAAGAACATTAATTCATTCAAGTTGATACCTGTTGAGTATCTCCTACTGCTCTCTCCCTTCTAGGTATAGATTTAGGACGAGAAAGATCTGCTTTTGTACAACATATGCTCTAGCAAGGGACAGATGACGGGCAAAAAAAAATACATATGTAACATTATGGCAGTCTGCTAAGTTCCCTGAGGAAAAATACAACTGGGTGAGGAATATGTGGGATGAGCATAGCATTGGAGGAGTGGTTAGAATACACTGCTCAGACAACCCCAGACCTACTCTAGAGAGCCCCAGCCCAGCCTTTCCCAAACTCACCTGGACCTCAGTCCTTCGCTATAATGATGCAAGAAAGAGGTGGACCCTGTGCGTCCTTCATGGCACTTCCAATCCCTCAGTCCACCCTCCAGTTGACAGATAGCTAGCTGATGGGCTCACTATATCTCTCTATTTTCATTCTGCTTCTATCTTAGCTGCCACTCAGGTTGGCTTTGGGGAGGAGCTGGGGGAAGGAAGATGAATACAATCAAATTACACTGGATGAATTTCTCAAAGAACTAATAAAATATATTTTAAAACTGATAAAATAATATTAAAACTATATAAATGGAGAGAGGCTGAGGCCCACAGTGGGGTGACCTTTTTTGCTTGACTCCCAACATCACAGACCCATACAACAGAGCTGTGTGGAATTGGGCCCTGAGCAAGCATACTGATCAAATAGACATTACACACAGATAAAACCAATATATACTTATTAACTTTACTGGTGAAAGCCCCTTCAAGATGGCTTTCAGAAATGTGTTGAAAGGCAAATGAATTTGGAATAATGTATCTTTTTAGAGATTACAGAAGCAAAAAATGGTGACTAGAGAAAGTTCACATGGACCTCAGAGATTGAGATGACATTCATTATACAATAAAAAATAAGGAAGATCATTTTAACAAAGATTTTGTTTGTTTGTTTGTTTTTATGGTTCTGGGGATCAAACCGAGAGTCACATATATACTAGATACTAGGCAGTTTGTTTTAATGGTTCTGGGGATCAAACCGAGAGTCACATATATACTAGATACTAGGCAAGCAATCTGCCACTAAGCTATAACCCCCAACCTATGGAGGATTTTTTCCTGTTAAAATGTTTTTTATAATGAACTTCTGAGGTACATAGTTTATAATGAACATGGAAAGGAATCAGCATCATCAGCCCCTTCCGAAAGGTGGCGTATCCAGCCCAGCTAGACCAGGACTCAGAAGTCTGCCCTGGGGCTTTCTTCATAGTGGTGGTTACTGCTGCATCAACAGCGCCCACTAGTGGCAAACAGGTGGCTTCTCAAACACAGGTGCATCCCCAGACTCCATAGCTATGCACTTTTGTTCAGTAAAGCAGTGTGCTCTAGGATCTGATAGTTTACCTGCACGTACTTGAATGATTAGAATGGTGAGCTGACCGTAGGCTATCCTTTAACAAACACTGTGCTAGTAGAAGTGTGTTCTACCAACAGAGTTCTTTTGTTTGACCTCTCTGTGCCCTACCCCATTGTTTTGAGTTAACATTGAATGGAATCTGCCACACACAAGTGACCATTAAGGGACCTTTGGCTTCCCTAAGGGACACTCAGTCCTGACTGAACTTAGAAAGTGGATGGTGAGAATCTTTCTTAAGACCTCGGCTTTTCAACAAGTCTGGTGACTGTCCTGCTGCTGTCTGGATCAGGTTCTGAGAGTACTAACTGGAAGCCATGTGTGATGTGTCTCGTGCACAGATGCAGCTTCTTAGCGCCAGTCCCCAGGTCCCATCCCAATCACTATCCAATCTTTGCCTCTTGATGGGCGTCCTTCCCTGCTTATTGCAGGATAAAGAAATGGTTTAAGGAGGGATAACTAATTAGGCTTCTCTCTCAGGATAGGAGGAATGTCAGTACCTCTGCTCTGATATTCTCCCAGTTCCATCCAAGGTAATGTTGGTGCAGGAAGGGAAGTGACAAGGAGCAGAAGGAAGATCTATGGGGATCTTTTGGGTAGCAGACTCCACGAAGTGCTTTGCGTGGGTCACTCCTCGTCTTGAGGATAGCCCTCTAAGGTAGACCAGCTCATCCATAAGAAACTGAGGATATGCATCAGTGGGAAAGAGCACTTGCTCTGCAAGCATGAGGACCCAAGGACCTGAGTCAAATCCATAGTACCCACATAAAAAGCTAGGTGTGTCCAAACAAGACTATAACCTTAGCACTAGGGGACAGACACAAGTAAATTACCAGAGCTCCCTGACTGGTCAGCCTGGGCATGATGTGAAAGTGACTTCAGATTCTGTGAGAGGCCCTATCTCCAGGCAGTGAAGCAGAGATCCAGAGAAAGACACTGATGTATGTATCAAATGTATGCATAGGAGTACATACAGCTGTACTCACATGCGTGAAACACACACACACACACACACACACACACACACACACACACACACACACACTGTCCAAATCTTACTGTCTCTAAGAACTTGGGAAGACTGGGTTTCATACTCAAGTTTGTCTGACTCCAAAACCCATGTTCTGGCCTCTTCTACTTCTAGTTTCCCTTCCTGCTCCTGGGTACCTATGTTCCCCAATCAGAGCCCCTACTTGTGGTCTGTTGCTCTGCCACCATTCAGAATGGTGCTTGGTTCTAACACCCTGCTGGGATGGGCTTTCTTTAGTAATGGCATCTTCTCATTTGATTTGGTCCTGCTTTTTCTCTCCTGTCTGGGTGAACTACTATTAAGAGCTGGTTTTGATTATTTGGAAAGCACCACGCGGGGACCCAGTGGGCTATAATTGGTAAGATGTCTGAACAAAATACCATATTTCCTGCGGGTGACTAATTAAAGGATTTTTACCATTTTAGAAATAGTCT